AATGATTCTATGATTCTGATTTCAGTGCAGGAACACAAACTCTCTTTTTGTGAGATGATCTAGTTGGAACTATGTTGCAACAACCCATTTTTCCTCAACCTATTGACTGTCCATGACTACCCATAGAACTTTATTTGTTACTTTTTTTAAAAAAGGAAAATAAACATATGAATTTGACATCAATCCATTGCAAGAAAAACTAGGACAGCTCTGTGTTGCAATCATCATCCTCTGAAGGAATTCCTGTTCTTCAAGAGAAATCTGCTTCCTCTGGGAAAATCTCTGGAGATCTTCACATACTGATCTTTCTGTGCATTATGTTTCCTTGGAACTGATTTCTTACACGTAGGACTTTTCACATAGTTAGCATACCTTATGTTAGCTTACATGTTCTTTTAAAAAAATATATTGTGCAGAAATTTCCCTCTCGGCATGGGACTTCTGGAAGCTCAAAGTTTTGTGTGCAACTGGTGAAGAAAGGGTGCCAATAGCAGTTGTTTTAAAAGATCTTTCCCCCATGAGATTTGAGACAAGTTGATTAGCACAAAGAGGCTGGAAAAGTATTCTTGTTTTTCAGTTGCTGTTTACGCTGAAGTAGGATGAGGGCAGAAAGGTTTGGTGTTGGAATTTCTACCTTAAAAAAAACTTTTCTAAAGGATCTCTGTGTTTTAGGAGAGAGCTAATGAGACTCACGTACTGACTTTGTTCATCTCACGGAAGGTAGAGAGTTTGTTTGCTACATCAATAGATTTTTACAGTGAAGAAGCACTTCTAAGCTTGTGGGATTTCCAGAATGTCTGTGTTGAGGTTGCACAACCTGTAATTTCTTTGATCTTGTATTGGTCCGGAGTCCTTGAAAGCGGCACGAGCAAGGAGCAAAGACGTAACTGTGTGTGAGGTTTATAAGCACTTTTGCCAATATTTGCAGACATTGTAAGCTTCATTGGCAGGGCTTAGGGACTTTGTAAATGTGGTAAGCCTGGCTTTCACAAAGAACACAGGATGTCAAATGGTCATTATGATACCCTTGTACTCAAAAGCTGGAGAGACTCTGACAAGTTTAAAATAGGTCCCTGTACGAAATTACTTTATAGAGTAATCTGTAAAATCAGTTTGACGTACTGAATCAAAGCTCTTAGTTACTGGTGAACAGAAAATTGATATATTTTAAATCCCATAACTGATAAATGACTTGATGGATTAACTACCAATTTTCTTTTTAAACTTTCCACCTACTTAATAGTTGCATGTGAAATTTCAGGTTGAGAATAACCTTTTCCCTGTCCAAAAATATCAGTCAGTCCACAAGAGAGAAAAATTGCGTTTAAAATAGAATTGCAATCATAATACTTTGTCATGGATACTTCAGGAAGAGATATCAGGAATGTGGGTTAGATAGGCCATAACTTAAGTGAATAAAGTTATCTTATGAATGATGATTTCTGGTCTGAACTCATTGAAGCAGCTCCCATCCTTTCTAATCTGTACCATTTTATGGAGGGCTGCACTTAATCCCCCCTCTCTCCAAAACTTCAGCCTGGTCCCAGGACCTGTTTATGATCCTCTACTTAACTGAAGAACAGAAAGGCTGAGGAAAATGGATGGGTGATGTACTATATCAGACATGAAGAATTTCAGAACTTTCTCCCACTCATTTCCTGAAAAAATCCAAATAAACCTGACCAGAATACAACTTAAGTGAAGTTCACCCTGGGTACTTGCTATTGCAGTTCTTCTATTAAAGAGTGACTTCTAGACTTGCTGCTCTCATTTTCGCATGTCAAAAGTGTGTTCATTTGGAAAATGAACACTGTCTTTAACAAACGCTTTTCTCTAATCTGTGTCTAAATCCAGTTTATGAAGGAATCTGATCCTCTGCTGAAGACCTTTACTGTGTGTCTGCCAAATTGCTACAGTATTAATTGGCAACCTAACCTCCAAATGGGTCCCCAGGCCATTGAATGGAAGGTCTCGATGTTCCAGACAATCTGCCAATAAGAAAAAATAGTCCTTTCTGGTTATCAAAGGGTAGTGACCATGGCCAAGGACCTGGCTCCCAAGTGTTGTTTTATTCTGCTCTCAGCGTACATCATGGAAGCTCTTGTACAAAACAAAACAAATGGGAACTGATGTGGAGAACATAATGAATAGGAGCTGGATGCAGAATGAGACCCTCACAAAATGTACCCTTCCTGCTAGCCTGTTAAACATTTCACTTTCTTATTCCTGTCAAGAGAGACACTTCTTACTCAAGAAAGGTTTATGCAGCAGATTGTTACCACAACCTGATACCAAAGTATTGCAGATTGTTGAAGGAAATGAGTATTTTTAAAAGTAATTCAGAGACAGCTGTAACCAGTTTTTCTCTGAGCTGAAACAGAAACTCTTCAGCTATCTCTTTATAAAAGAGTAAATAATATTACAGGGTAAAATTATTTTTACATATGCGTGCGTGCACAATTATCAAAATATATATGTATGTATATTTGAATCTCTAATTAGTCATTACAATTTTAGTACGCAGACTTCTCTTCAAAGGGAAACTATTACTGTATTTAATACGTAAGCATACTTCAGGCATCACCATCATTTAAGAAATATTGTTCACATGCCCTTCACCAACCAAAGGCAGAGATAAAGGAGAATAGCAACTGAGTGAGATGGTTTTCATTGCTGTGCGTCAAGGGCCAAGACTATTTGGGAAGACAGAATGTAATAGCCGATACTACTGGTTTACAACGAGAGCCTTACACTCGAAACTGAATCAGCATGGAAACAATGAACAGTTGTGAAAAAGCCACCTTACACTGTTCCAGATATATACTGGCACAGCATGTTGAATAAGCGTAGCTCAGATTTTTGGATCTTTTATGTACAATAGTCCCTTAAACATTTTGCAGGTACCTCTGTGGTGCAAGTGACAGCCACTGATGCAGATGACCCTACTTATGGCAACAGCGCTCGGGTGGTGTACAGCATACTGCAGGGACAGCCTTACTTTTCTGTGGAGCCGAAAACAGGTAACTTTCAATAAACTCTCTGCAGTCATGAGGAGAAAAAGAAAATGTGCATTAAAACCTGCTAGGAACTTATTAATGTGGTCTCTTGGTTAATTGACTACATTTGGATTTTGCTGATCTTTTAATCTCTTATTCTTCAGAATAGATTATAAAAACCACACATCTGAGCTATGTGATAAGCAGACATTGCTGGAATGAGAATTTTTATCTTCTTGTCAGTCTACCAGCCCCCTGGTCTGCAGTCTGTTGCCATCTTTCTGATCAATGAAAATTTCAAAATGCTATGAACAAATTTTTTTACAGATGTTTGTTCTAGAAATATCGAAGTGTCACATAGCCAGATTTCCTTAAGTATAGATTTACAGCATGATCACCTCTCCATTCTACTTTTTAAACTGAAGCTTTGTTGTGGGAAACGTATCTTTTCTTTATTACTTTGGAGGAGAAAGCACTGTGCTTCCTACCTTTATCTGATACAGCATTTTCCTGCTGCTTTCAAAACAAGTTACCGGTGGAATGTTTTTTAGTATTTTCATGAAATTTTGTGAATATTTTAAGCCACAACAAGATGCAACCTTTAATCGTCTGCCGGTTTAATAAACACTACCCAGTCTACTGTATCATTTCATAGAGCAGGAAAATAAGTTCTCGTTCTCTTCAGTTCAGTTTGGTGCCTGAGCCTTCACTTACATCAACATGGAGAAGAGTTATAAACTTCATTTGAGATGGACAGGTTGAGACAAAGGAGAAACAAACTATTTACCCTATTTGTCATAAACAATCTGTGATGTGGATCAGACCTGAATCCCAATGCTATGACCAAACGGTCACACTCGATTTAAATGTCTAAATCTGCAGAAATAAGTACTGTAGTTATCTTCATATTGCAACAGGTCCATCCTCAGCAGATATATATAACACTTTTATTTTGCCCCGATGAATAGGATTTATAGTGGTTTTTTCTCTCTCTCTCCCCCCTCTATGTGTATGTACGTACAATGTATATTGTCATAATGACTGCAGACAACCCTTGAACAATAATATGACACTTTCTGCTAAATCAAAATCTTTAAGGATTCAGACTGAAATGTTTGCATACATTTTCACTTTGATGTGATACTCAGATTTCCTGTGTGCATGATAATTAGCTTCCAAATGATTGGTTAACATTGCCTGGCAATTTAACTCTGATAGAAAAACAAGCAGACCAGAAAAAGCAATGTAGAAACAATAATGTTATGAAATTGTATATTAATTGTATTTTAACATGTCTCGTAAAATGGGCAAAATAGTGCCAGACAGTCTGTGAAATAAATGTTTCAACCTAGAGATGATTAATAACAAGTCCTACATTCATAAGGGAAAAGGAAATAAAACTCTAACTAAACATTCAACAAATATCAGATGAAGAGATATGTGTCCCAATGTACCTCTCCTTTATTTAGTTTGTTCATATTTCCTTTGCTGCTGACACTAAGTGCTGGTGGAGTAAACGGCTGCCTCTCCGGAAATCAGAGTTAGAGGCTGTACTGTGTACTGAGCATGAAATATTTATAAAGTCATCACGTTTTAAGAAGGCATATTTATTTTCTGATCTATATCAACAGAACTGAAAGGATGAAACCTGGAGCTTTCTTCTGGTTTTCATTTCAAATCAATTAATTACAAATTGTGTGCAGATCATTAAATGGATATAACAAAATCTACTTCAGATATTACAGTATTTTAATTAAGAAATCAAAAATCTCTTAATTACACTAAGGGTTTAGAAGTGGATATTGTTAAAGCAAACATAGTTAAATAAGATAATTTCATATATATACAGTGTGGCACGATATCAATATTAGTAAGAGTTAATGTGGTGAACGACTGTTCAAGACATTGTGAAATGAATCTTGATCTTGGAATCTTAAAAATGAACACAGAATATTCTGTTCTTCCTAGCTCTAAAAGAGTTGGAAATCAAACACAGAAGATGATATCTTCCAGGGAAGGGAGTTTTACCCAAGATATTATGTAGTCTATAGTTCAGGGAGAAGATACTTGGAAAAAAGAGGCATGGATGGCATTACCCAAAGAATCTAGTACTAAATAAAAAATGATGGGTTTTGGTGACTACTTAAAATAAGCTTGTGGTATGTCAGTTCAACTCCTAGTCAAAAATGTGGTATTAGTGTTGAAATTAATTCTTTCCTCTCTTGTCACAATAATTGATCTGCTGGTACCTTTTGAAGGCAAACTCAGCTTTCACAGTAACATATTTGCTTGTGCAACCATTGACATATGTTGTCTTCCTGCAGGTGTTATCAAGACTGCCCTTCCGAATATGGATCGAGAGGCCAAGGACCAATACCTACTAGTTATTCAAGCAAAGGACATGGTTGGGCAGAATGGTGGATTATCAGGGACTACGTCTGTAACTGTCACCCTAACTGATGTTAATGACAACCCACCCCGCTTTCCACGACGTAAGTTACTTTGTAAAAATATGACATATAATGTTATTTCTAAACATTGTTATTTTCTTTATATGTCACGGTCTTTTTAAACAAAAAGTACTCAGCATCTATGTTAAGTACTTTGAGAGTCACTGACAACAAAGTATGTTTATTTTTATTTTTATTATTATCATTGCTTTTAATATTATATTGGAAGAATCTTTTTTCTTAATATGTTTCAGAGAAGTTGAAATGATGTACAGCAGGTACATTTGTTAATGTATTTTATTTCCTTTCCTTTCTATGAATAAAAAGACAAAAAAAGATACACTTTAATAGATATTTAGCTCTTGCCAATTAGACTTCAGGTTGCATAGTTCTTTAACTTGACTCTCGATCATTCATATTCCTTTGACATTTTAACAGGATTTCTCTTGTGCATATGATGTTTCCTAAGGAGTTAATCACAGAAGAGCTGGAAAGTCATCTTCCCTCCATTTACTTTCTTTGGCCAAGGTGGCTGTCACCCTAACCAAAGAAAGGAGTACACAGTTGTACGCTCAAAGCTGAAGAGCTCAGTTTATTAATAGCATTCTGTCTGGGGTGTTTTTTTCTTAAAAAAAAAAAAAAAAAAAGGGTCCTTGCTAAATAGAATTAAAATAATGTGAAAAATATATTCTCGTCCACTCCAGCCTCACTTCAGTGATAGAAAAAATAGATCTGTACATAATAGATTTCCTGTTATTTCAAGCCACCAACAGCTTGAAATAATAATAGAATAATTGAAGTTATTTTTGAAGGTGAGGGTGTTATTGGCTACAGACTGCACTCAGATACCTTTTTGACAGCACATATATCATTTTTTACTTGAATGAAAAGCTGGAATTTTCAAGAATGCAGATGGTGCAGTTACTGTTAAAGAAATTAATGTATACCAGTTTTTGTCATATTCAGATTGCAAACTGCCTAATCAAAACACATAGCTGTAAAATAATAGGAGTTCATATTGATATTATTTGTCTTACTTGCTTTTCTTCCTCTTTTGTGGAAAACAAAGTAAAATATTGTCTTCATTGGAACTCTGTAACAGGCATTAACCTCATGATTTAGACTTAAGTTTTGAACTATGTTTTTGCATCTTTGCATTGTACTTCTCTTGTCATATGAAGAAATTATGCCCATAGTACTTAAAGTAGAGTCTGTCACAAGGAAAATCTAGTAAAAAAGGGCAATTCTATTTTAGGCTGAGGAATATATTCTGGTAACCTGAGTAAATATTCAAGTGCATAATTTAAAAGAAGGTAGATTTCAAGAAGGCTAGATTTTTTATTTTTTTTTTTTCAGTCTACAGTCCCAGAAGACTCTGAACTCATTACATTTTTAAATTTCACAGGATCATACCAGTATAATGTCCCAGAGTCTTTGCCAGTGGCTTCTGTGGTGGCCAGAATAAAAGCTGCAGATGCAGATGTGGGACCTAATGCTGAAATGGAGTATAAGATTGTGGACAGTGATGGTTTGGGAGTATTCAAAATTTCTGTCGACAAAGATACCCAGGAGGGAATCATAACAATTCAGAAGGTAAGTCTGACTTTTCTCACTGATTCTCTTTGGATCTGTGCAAGATGAGGTCAGGTAATGAGAGTAAGAGCTTTTGTTTCGAAGAGCCTTACCTACTGTGTAAGTTTCAATTGGCATCATGACTTCGGTGGGTGCATGTGTGTGTGATTTTGAGGTTTTTGATGACTTGCACTGAAAATTATTGTGGGCTTTTTTGGCAATAGCTGTATTATTTTGATGAGGTTTTGTTTTTAAAGGTCCTGCACATAGAAGGGTGGACAGCAATCTAAACTTTAGTCTCATTTGTCCTTGCATTAAAGAGGTAATGTGAAAATAAATCTCATAATAAAAAGGCAAGCTCCAAATACAAAATGGATCCCAAATGTAATTAATATTATTTCAAAAAAATAAAAATATTTAATTATTTTTTATTCTCAGCTTTCTATATGTACAGTTAGAAAACTAACTTTTTAAAACTGAAAATTCATACTTACATAAAAATAATAAAACTCAACATTCTTACCTTGCTGCAACACATTTTAGGGTATACTTTTACGAAATAAAAGTGTACTGAAATATTTTGCAAGAAAATTTAAATTTTGAGGAGAACAGGAAAAAAGCCCCAACACCTTAGACAGAAGAAACTCTTCTCATATAATTTCATACTCTTAATGAGTGAAAGTTTGGCAATGACAATACTGAATCTATGACCCTAACTCTGCTAAGCAATTTAATATCCCCTAAAATGTGGGGCTGACTTGGCATTTTAGAATATGTGTAAGTATGTTCCTGAACAAGGACGTCTGTTTGTAGTTAATCCATAGCAGATTTTTCTTCCCTATATACTCTCTAATTTCTGTAAACTTCACCTACCAGTTGTGGGGTTTGGTTTGGTTTTGTTTTCCTCCTCTGACGCATCAATTCCTTTCTAAAGCGATATAAAAAAACTTCAGCAACATTTCTCCTTTGGAAGAAGTTAATACTGCATGATGTTGCAAAGCAATGGGCTAATTCTCTGGTGCCCTGAGCACCTACTGAGAGCTGGTAAGCATCCACAGACGTCAGAGCAAATGCAGGACATTCCACACCCTTGAAAGACCAGGCTTTAATAAGTGCAATGTGAATCATCATATTTCAAGGCAAAAGCATCCATCTTAGGCTTCTTGTAAACAGTGCTAATTTCTGCTTAGCATGTTTGAAATGCAAGTGATAAAAAGTTAGTTGTCTCTTTGTTCAACAGCCACATTCAATGTGGCTCCTTCGGTGTGCTCATCTAAGGGTTTTGAGCAAAGATTTGGAAGAAATATGCCTATCCCAGAGGGAGAGCATTTCCCAGTGCCACAGTGAGCAGCACTGAATCAGTTGGGGGTTTCAGCAATCTAATCTGAGAACTGATGAATTCGTGTTAATTTTTAGTATGCTCTCGCAGTCATGGTGTTTGTTCCTGGAATATCCTGATTCCAGTGTTGTACAGTGGACCAAATAATTGTCGTTTATTATTTCTGTAATCTCTTTAGCTAGGGAGCTGAACTGGACTTCTCAGTACTGAACATTTGTCCTGAGAAGTGCTTTATGAAATAGCTATTGGACTACATTAAAAAGGTAACAAAATTTTGACTTGATGAAATGTTCCAATTTTCTAATTGATTTTAAACCTAGATGCTGCTATATTTTGACACAAGAATTCAGACTTTTTTTCTCTGCAGCGTTAGAGCTTTTCTCTAATTTCCCTGCTATTATCAACCTTCTTTCCTCTGCCATACCCAAAGGTGAGTCTCCGTGCTGAGGGGCACCTCCCAAACCTCTGGGTGCCCTTAGCTCTTCAGTTGGACTCCAGGGAACCTGGTGCCTTGTCCAACGCTGGAAGATGCTCCCTGCCCACCCTGCAGAGAACATTGGCTAGGGGAGGAGAAAGCAAGTGAGGAGCTCAAGCACGGTGGCCAACAGGCAACTGCACCTTATTCTTCTCTGGTGAACAACTACATAGAAGACCACTAATGACAGTGTATGCAGGTTAAATGGGCTTCAACCACTGAGCCTTACTTGCCACATCACTATGGGGTCAGGCAGACGTTATCCCTGCATGACAACGTGTGCTTGTTGGTAAGGAGTCAGGGAAGAAATTAAGTCTGTAGCCTGGAATCTGCGTAAATATTTTACTATCCAGCACATGATGGTTCTGTACACCTCTGGGTGTAATTAGCTCTCTCCTTTTCATACCCCTGAAATCAGCGGAGGCATTGAGAAACAGCTCAGCCTCCAAACGCATGCCCATCATTTTAAACTCGTGTGTATTTATACGCTCAGATGACATGTCTGTGTAAGCATCAAGCAGCAAAATGCCAAGGTAAAGACTTCTGAAAAGGCACGCTTTGGTTCTAAATGCAAATGCATGCTTTAGCTTTGCGTACTTTTGCTGCAATCATACATACAAATCAGCAGGCTAGGCATGAAAATCACCTCCAGTATCTCTGAGCAGCTGAAGGCATTGCTCCATTCATTTTTCTGCTGGCTGTTGTGGAGAAAGTTTGGCACCTGGTTATCAGAGTTCCACACACAAAGGGAGGATTTTACATTCTGTTTTTTCTATGGATAACCATTTTGAGACAATTTGAGAAGTCGACTTCCTCACTAAAAACTAAGACCTTTTTTTAATACGTAGGGAGCATCTGTGAAAAAAAAATAACGGAGAGATGTGAGATTTAAGAATTCAGCGAGCAAAGCAGGATTTTTGTATGCTCCAAGTGGATGAAATATGAGAGAAAATGCCCAAAGATCAGCAAACATTATAAATAAATTATTTATATATGTAAATTCAGGAAAATGAACTTTTTAAAAAAGGGAAGAATTGACATATTAGAGAAAAATGTTACATGGCTAGGTATTTCCTAAGATTACTTTTGCATAATGGACTTGACATATATTGATCTGAAAGGTGGCAAAATTGATGAAGGAGATATGAGTGTGCTTAACTTTTGGTTTGTTTTGGTTTTTTTCCATGCATATTCAAACACAGTTCTTCTCCGCACCCTATGACACAGAGAGTTCAAAACACCAAAAGTCAGTTGAAAAAAAAAATCATGGTTTTACTCTAACACTGATATTCATCAAAATATGGAGTGTACTCTTCCCTCATTTCTCTCTTTCGCATTGCTAAATCCAGATACCTCTTTGGCTTGCCCGATTTATTCAGGATGGATTTTTCTCTAAACAATTTGAGAACAGTGTTGTTTTTCAATCAGTAGCAGTAGTTCTGCTCACGGTTTTTACAGCCATGGCAGGACTGGGGATCGCGTGTTCCTGAGCATGCTGGTACTGCTGCTGCCTGGGGCGTAGTGTCAGGATGTACCGACTACCGCACTGAACCTCGGTTCAAGATAACATTTTGGCAATGGGCTGGTAATCTTACAGCAACTCCCTTGACCATACGGAATGAGACAAGGGAGGAATGCTTTCTCTGTGTTTTCATCATCTTGGTCATTACCCCTCCAAAGAGTAAAGAGTAGGATTGTACCACCTAACACAGCACAACTAAGGAGAATGCATGCTGTACCACTGTACAGTATTCACTGCTATTTTTTTTTTTCACATACTTGCGACATCTTATTTTCTTTCATCCTGGTTAGTTTGTTGGAATTGGGATTAAATGAATGAGATGTGAACTTCATGTATTCCAGCAAGTTGCTTAAGTTCACTGTAGACAAAAAAAAAAAACCAAAACACAAAACAAAACTCTTTTTCAAAATATTCTTTGTGACAAAGACTAACTTTTGCACATGAATTTATGGTTCAGATAATAACAGGAGGTTAAGTCTGGATAGAATCGATTTTTTGTGAGATTGGTGAAGCTAGAATTTCATCTTATGACAGGAGCTGGTAAAAATAGTATTGAACCATTTACTTGGTTATTGGCACTAAAAAATAAAGTCTACCTTCTTCTGCAATACATTAACTGAATTCATTGGCTGAATTCATAAGCAAAAATTTTATCCAGCATGTATCTAGGATGGTATATAAAAGTGAGTAGGTTGGTTTTAGGAAGCCATGTTCTGTTTCTGACCTGCAATAGGGTATGAAAAACGCTAGAAGACAAACTTTATTTTCTAGAAACTGGTAGAAACCATTCACAATAAGTGAATGGAACCCATAAGCACAGTTCAGAGCAGTATTCTCATCTTACAGGAAGGGTGGGAAAGCCGTAGGAAAACTATAGGGAGTCTTTTCCTGTAACCTGCTATGTTCATACAATTCGCTGCCTAGTAGTTCCAAGTCACTGTGGAAACCTTCCCATTTTTTTTCTTTTCCCACTTTCTTTTTTATTAAGTAATGATAATAAATGAATGAAAATTTCTTGCTTGTCACATGAAACAGAAGGAAATTCTTCCTCTATTTTTATTCTGTACAGAGCAGTCTAAAGATACCAACTTCCTCAAACTTTGTGTGAGAGTTCTGATGTTGCAAACAATGGGAGAGTTTGGCTATTCTCCACCCCGTGGGCACACTCTCTGTAGTGAATTCCTAAGTAAAGCTAAATCAGATGTGTAAGTTACATTTAAGCAGGGTTTAGGAAAACATCCATCTTAGGTGGTGTTTTCAGAAAAAAAAAAAAATTGCTTCTACGGTTTTTGAAAAGGAATTGGGTATTTATATTTCTTAGAAGTATTTGAAAATTTTATCCTGGTTCACACTGTGACTCAGTTCTCCATCTGTAGAGTAGGATCAGTTTCTTCCTGTGGTTTCATTTGTAATTTACATTCTGCTACCAATGTTCTCTTAGTAAGGACTCAGATCATTTGCATAGCTCCATTTCACAGTGGTGAGGGTGTTTGGAAGAAAAGTGTAATTTTTCTGAATATACTGGAGTTTTAAAAAATGTCTTGGATTTGCCTCTGCAGTAGCAACCTTAGAATTGAAGAAATGTTTAAGGAAGTGAATGATGATTCAGTCATTTAATACAACAAATTCTGAAGTGTCCATGCAAACCTATGTGTGTACAATTTCAAAGTGAATTTACTTTGACTGTTCTCAGAATCCTGATTGTAATACACACGAATGCAATCTTGGCTTCCCTTTCTAAGCAAAATGAACACATAAAACCGTATCTTTTGTAGTTTCCAAAGCACTATTCCTAAAAGTAGTGTACTGAAAAAGGCATCCTATAAGTACAGATCTCACTTTATTCACGGAGTTGCAGGCTATAGTTAGACCACGGTAGTAATAAAAGCCTAGTAGCAAAGTATCTTAAGATAAAAACCTGATAGATGATCTGTATCCACCTACATTTTTATCAAATACTTGGTGCTTAAAACAGTAACATTAACTTAATAATAAAAGAGGCTGCAAGGTATATTTTTATCATATGTGACTTTTTGGAAGGTTATGAGATCTGATTCAAGCCATTTTGAAATCTATGGAGAGATTTTAGTGGACTTAAGTGCAAAAAAAAAGAGAAGCCTGGAGACTCTATATAGAGAGGGTTGTCATGTCTTACTGTAGCAAGTGACAAGCATTAAGATTTCCCATGGTACAGTTCTCGCTCATTTTGCCTTCGTTTCTCCCCCCAGTACACAGCACTACCACAATATCCCCAGCCAATTTGAATGTGAGAAGGAAAAATGTAAAAATAGTGTTGCAAAGTACTTTTTCATAGAAATTGACTGCTAAGAGATTATTCTAAAACTTGAGTTTGTTCTAAGAGTAGCAGTGGCAATTATAAAACTGGGGGGTTTAAGCGTAAGCTTCTGAGTAAAAAGCTATCTTTCTATTACTGTTAACATTTCACTTTTTTTTTCAGCTAGGAAATTTTCTTTCAATTCTATATCAGAGTTTACAATGTAAGAACTTGAGGCTTCCATGGTTCCTTTGAGAGATAATGTGCATTTGTTTGATATACTGCAGTTTTCAATATAAAACCTCAACCGGGCTTAAAAATGGGATTTTCACCTCTGAAAAGTACATTATTACAAAGTTACCATACAATAAAAAATGAACATTACAAAAATGAGCTTCCTGTGAGTGATAACTTCATATCCAGACTCTGTAATATAGATGACTTATTTTGTAGTTTCCTTCAGACAGGATAAAATTCTTATCCCTTAAAAAAAAAATTAAAAAAAAAAAAAAGAAAAAAAAAGAAAGGTGGAAAGGTCACACAAACTCCCAAATGAGAGAAAGATAAATGGATCCTGCACAGGATCTGATCAGATAACACTAATACACAGGTATTAATGAAGCTGTCAAGCTCCATTCACTGTACTAAAGGACTGAAATATGCATTGTCCATTTAACCTTCAACACTGACGCAGTGATTTGTAGTCTGTTGACTTGGTATTCCATTATTAGAATCTTGTGCTTTTGTTATAGCAAGAAATAATGAAGGCATGATCCAAAAGCTAGTTAAATTATGTTCTCTGTACAAGAGATATCAGTGATAATTAGATAAGAAGAAATAAAAAAAAGGAAATCTTTTCAGTTCACTTTTTCAGTCTTTCATTAACGTCCGTAGTATGTAATGTCTTCATTATCTTATCTACGAATTGTTGAAATAGTTCCACCAGGTCAAGAATGCTTGCATACTGATCATATCTTAGAGGTTTTGTTTATTTTCCCAGAATATATTTAACTTCAAAACCTGGTACCTGTGTATTTGCCACAGGATCTCAGGATGTGTATCTCACAGGAGCATACGTTAGATTTATTACTTATTTATTTTTCATTATTTTTCATTAAGGACCCTTATAGTTTTTAGAAACTATCAGCAACATTGGGTACCAGAAGATACCTGTGAGAATCCTAGAGCAGGATTCATGTTCCTGAAAGCAGATGTTTACTTCTCCCAGTTATTGCGACTCCCTTACCAGTGACTGGTGAAAAACAGGCATTCATAAGTAAAGCAGCCGATTGCTTCCCTGGAAGAATTTTGCTACACTCACACTAAGCACCCTATGGTGGTTTTCTCACATGTACGTGGCTAAGTTAGAGAAGATGAAACCTGCACTTAGTAAGCAAGCCTGTTTAGAGTATGCACCTACACCATCATTAGTTTTGCATCCTTCTCTACGAGGAAACACCTTTCTAACGAAAGTGGGGTTTGTGTGTTCCCTACGAGTCTGACACTCCTGTGATCCACTCAAATAAATGATGACCTCTTCCTACATTACAAGGATGAAACACGATGATTTAAAAGTGAATGTGTATCATCCCTTGTGATAAATATTCACATGGAAAACATGTTTTTATGATTTCCATTGTTAAAATTCTAATTTAGTATTCTTTAATCAGTACAGAAATGGGGGAATGGCTATAAATTAATTTAAATAATATTTCTTCATTATCATGCTTAGTGTATTCAAATTAAAATTGATATAATTTGTCCAATTACATATAGTGGTCTATGCACTTTCTCTATTAAATCAGAATTTTCATAACCTTTTTTTCTTAGGATGACTGTGGTGTTGACGTTAGTATTTCATAAGAAGCTATCTTGTCTGCAGTCTTGTGATATATTTCCATGTATTTGGTTAACTATTGCTGTAATCTCAATCACCCAGTTTCAACAGATATTAGTGATTAATAAGAATGAATTACCCTTCGCTTCTCCACTACATATTTTTGTACATTCTGACTAAAAATACATCGTTTGTGAAAGCGTTACCTTTTTATTTTTAGTTCAACAAATCTCAGCTTTTTGTCTTTGACGTTCTTTAGATTATTATTTGTTTAGTTAATATGATGCTTTTACTGGAAAATGAGAAGGCTTAAGATATTTGTGTGCTTGGTTGTCTTCTCCTTAAGCTTGCTACTCATCTGGTCATATCAGTTGTTTAATTGTTATCACCACACAATAGAGTTTCTGAGACATTTTTCATCATCCTAACACCACATTACATTTGCATTACGGCTGTGAGGTTTATTTAATAACACATATATTGTACTTTAAATATAAAACCCAAATTAAAATTAAAAACAACTAAACATGCTTTAGTAATAAATACTGACCAGTTGTATCCAATAGAGTAAGCAGTATCCAGACAACCTGTCTTTTACGGCATATCTGTGTTTGGAGAGCTATGGATACTACAGCTCTGATTCAGTGCAAGAAGTAAGAAGTTGCATAACATGAGGGCCACGTGTATTCCCATTTGGAGAAGACTTTTGCTACCACATAGAGTTTATAAAAGTTCAGTGCCTTTCTGAGTGTGATGTGCTGCAATTCATTTTTCATTTTTAAATCTAGACTGTTTACAGGTGTATTGCAATGTCAGCATAATTGCTGACTTCAAGATACTCATTTGGGATTTATCCTACTGTAACTTGATGGAGATCTTGGGCCCTTGCATTTGTAGGTCAACAGATGTGTGTTTTACCTCTGCTACTCCTCTGAACAAGTACAGGAATGTTTTGCAGATGCTGTCAGATTATTTTGCAAGCCCATTTCAGATCCCTATGATGTATGCGGAATCAGAACTGCAGAAAAACTGTTTTAAGCTGTTTTATACACTTGGAATTACAGTTTGAAAAGATATAGCTGAGTAACCAGACTGCAGTTTTAGAAATGCTTGGGTCTTTTGTTGCTTTTCTTAACGATTAAACTTGGAATTGCAAAGGCAAAGTTAGCTGGGCATTTGGTGCAAGCTGGCAAACTAAGACTATAGATATAGGGCAAATAGTGCTGATATTAACATGGTGCTTTCTTTCAATAATTGTCTGTGAGCTAAAATGCTCTTTTGCCTTCAGAGTAATTTTCTTCATGGGACTGTCTTCCAGATCACAGAGATCCCGTTAGTTGTGGGGGGTCCTTTTTAATTTTAATGCAATTTTTATTCCAAAAGAAATTATACTTTCATCAAAGAAAATTAAAGCAGAATGAAGGTGGGAAAAATTAATGTGCATTTTGTTTAACAAGAAAAACAAAACCAAACAATCTCCAGGGTACATGTCAGTACAAAATATTGTCATATAAACAATGTAGTTTAATCGATTGCCACATTTTCTACACAGACTTATACAGAGCTTGGAGTAATAATAGATTAGTCATTCCCAATGCTATACCAAGAAAACCCCACAATTTTCTGAATTAGGTATTTTCACCAATGAATATTATATTGAGTTCTTACGTCTGGGTAACATGGCACATTGTATTTGACATTACCTTAGATAAAATATGAATAAGACAAAAAGAAGTATTTATTCACAGTGATGAAATAGTGGGTGAGAATTTGGTCTTCACAGAAGCCACAGAAAGTTTTGCCATTAACTCAGAGAATTCTTGTTTCATTCACAGGGTAGAACTACTTTTATCATTACAGTCACTGGGGAATATTCACTAGTGAGACATAGCAAATAGTGTTTTGAGAAAGCTGAAAAATAAGCCGTCAACTGTACTCTGCCAATCAAAAGTGCTGGTTGGATGCAAATGGCAAAGTTCATTTTGTACTTACTGACAGTGGTAAACGAAACAAGTTTGCGGCAACATCATTGGGTAATAAAATTTCCAAATAACTTTACCCGTATAGGAGCTGGATTTTGAAGCTAAGACAAGCTATACCCTGAGGATAGAAGCAGCCAATATGCATGTTGACCCTCGCTTCCTGAGTCTGGGACCCTTCAGTGATATGACAACAGTGAAGATAATCGTAGAAGATGTTGATGAGCCGCCTGTATTTACTTCACGTTTGTACTCCATGGTGGTGTCTGAAGCAGCAAAGGTTGGCACTATCATTGGAACTGTGGCTGCCCATGATCCAGACGCCTCAAATAGTCCTGTCAGGTAATTATAAGACGTCTTAATTGTTTATTTATATAGCCTTTCTCTTGAAGTTGTTCATTTTGTCATGAGAGGGTCTCTGGTGACACTGAAAGAAATTAGTCTAGCTTTTTTCCCTTGCAGAGGGAGATTGAGATGTTCTAAGAATTTGCGTTATTTTGACTTTTATATTCTTGAACTACAGAACCTTTGAAAATATAATATATTTAAATCTCTGTGAAACAAACAAGAGAAAAGATATAATTTCAGGATTCCAAAGGAAAAAACCTCCACACATTACTCACATTTATTTCTCTCTAAGTTTAGGAAGAGTCTATTATAATCTATAAGAAGTTATGTTCTCTTAAATCAACCAGGACCAAGAAATATCTATATAATTTACATATATGTGTGCATAATGATTCATATTCTCCATGCACCATGAACAAGAATGTAATAGCACGTAGGCTCTTGCATGGTAAACCAGACCTGAGGTCCTACAGAAAAAAAAAACCAATAAAAACCAACTCTTTACATGAGAGAAATGGATAGGATAAGACACGTCCTGTCCTAGTCAGAATGGTTAAAGGCAATAATCTTTTGGCTTTTGTAAATGCTGCTGCAGCCAAACGTCTTCCATTCGAATGGGAAGAGGTATGAACACTAGAGACACATGAAAACTGTCAAGGGCCTCTTCCTTTGTCTTCAGTGTGTGAAGAACCTGCAAGTCTTCCATAATCTGATGTCCAGGATCACAAAGAAATCGTAAGAAAACACAAACTATTGGTCTTATGTTTGCCTGTACCAAAGGTCAAATCTCAAGGACAAACACTCAGCACCTAATTTAAACCGGCAATGAGTTACTTGTTGCTTTTCTTATGCAGAGTAGTAATATTAATTGTCAAAGGAACATGCAAAGGATCTAGGGGGTAACACTTCTGACTCAGGACTTTTGTGAACACCTGCAGGAGGAGGAACAGATACACAATTAACAGTCAGTACTAAGTTTCATTTGTTATTATTGTTCATTTAGGGCATACATAGAAAAGAACTTTACAGGTACAGAACTCATTTTGATGTCACCTTTTTTGGTGATGTTAAATTTTTACTTTCATGCGTTGAAGATGAACTTGGGACTCTAGTGCAACTCTGTAATTTGTAAAGCAGCAATCTTAAGTTGTAAAAATAAAGCATACGTTTTACTCCTAGAGGTGACGTAAGTGTTCTCTCTCTCTCTTCTGTTACCTATTTGCTACATATTCAAAATAGCTGATTCCTATCATGTACAAACAAGTCCTAGATGGGTGACTGGCATGGATTTACTTGTGAAATTTATCTTTGCTGAGCTTGTTCTTTGCTGTGGCAGTGTTTTCTGGCACTGACGTTAGCATCTGGTGTGTGATATCTGGTTTAGCAGAATCATGCAGAGTAGGATTAAATCCAGTTCCATAAATGCAGTCCATGCTCAGAATGCATTTGACTCCTGTGTAAACATAAGGATGAGTTTATTGTCCTTGATCTGGTTAGTTTTTACAATTCCAGCATAAAAAATACTTATATCACCAGCTTAACTAACATCTTGAAGAATTCTTCTGCTTCAAAGTTGTTTGGAATTTGAGAGAGAGGAAAAATAAAAGCAGTGAGGGTTTATCTATATGTTTGTGAATCTGCTGTGTACATTGTTGGGGGTACTGACAGATCATATAATTTAAAGCTGTCCTGCATCTGCTTTGATATACATCGGAGCTAGATTCACCTAAAATTGGAATGTGTTAAGGAGGATTAATGCATAATACTTTTTATGATCTATTTAAGAAGTTTAAACTATTAACCTACAAATAAATATTCCAAATTCCACACATTGGATTATATTGATTAAAAATTAGATTTGTTACAATTCAGAAAATGTTGATATTACACAATCAGACACAAATAAAACCTTGACAATACTGGGGGGAGAAGTCATAAATATTTTGAAACTAAGAGGTTATCTCGTATGGACCAGAGAACTGTTGATGTTTGAACTAGCTTAAATAAAGGATTTAAAACTCCTGCAGCTCAAAGATTTTCAAGTATTAATGACTGCACGGAATTAAAGGATTAAAAGTATTTAAAACAGGTTTTTTAGAATTTGAATATGGATACAACATTTGTAAATAAGTTAAAGAAAACTGTTTGTTTCCTATGCATTAAAACTATATTTCTTCTTGTTTCCTAAAAACCTGTCATCCAATTTATATAACTGGTTTGCTTGCCCTCCTTCCCTCCCTTTCCCCTTTCCTCCCTTATTCATTCGTTCATCTGTTCCTTCCTTCCTTCCTTCTCCTTCCTTCCTTCATTTTTGTTGTTTTCTGTTTATTGCTTTCTTGATTTCTTTTCCTTTTTTGGTATTTCTCAGTTCTCCTCCTTCTCCTCCTTCTCCTTCTCCTTCTCCTTCTCCTTCTCCTTCTCCTTCTCCTTCTCCTTCTCCTTCTCCTTCTCCTTCTCCCTCTCCTTCTCCTTCTCCTTCTCCTTCTCCCTCTCCTTCTCCTTCTCCTCGCTGTTTCTTGGTTTCTTACTATATTTTTAAGAAAGGTCTTTGGCTCTTCACATTGCATAGTGATCATGTTAGTAACTGGGAAATCTGAGGACTGGCAGGAGATTGAATCCCAGCTACGAGGCCTGCCAAGACCGACTACATAGCGGAGGTGACGGGCAGAATCTCATGGGGAAACTTGCCAGCCACAAAACAGCTGAAAATCACTGCTGACCAAATAAGCAACAGCTCTGGCATGAAATAAAGTAAAAAATGACCTACAGTTAACATAAAATGAAAAAAAGAAAGTGAAATAGGGAGAGTCTTAATCCATGGAAACTGCCGTTACTGTTGTTGTTACAACTCTACTCCGTTTTCTCTCTCACTGTGACACAATACCGTAAAACAATTCTAATTATGTAACAAGCCTCTGCTCCAGGATTTTGCAGCCAAGTGGGACAGATAAAAACACAGTAATACAACAAAGCAGAAACTGGTATGTTACGACATGGAACAAACAAATAGTGTCATAAGATTATTATATCTGGGAAGTCCAGTTTTTTTAAGTACCATAATCCCTCCTTCCACTTTGTTCAGAGGATTGGGTTAATGTTATATCGATAATCTAATATGTCATCAATGCGACAATAATTGTAATGATCACGCTTAGTCTGATTTGGATATTTTCATTCATCCTGAGCGTAGGGAAGTGCTCTGGAGTACATACTTGATCCAAATGAGAGTGCAAGAATCTAAGCCAATATTAAATCTAATGTCAAGAACTTTCCAGTTGTAAATCTAAATCTGCCTATTCAACTGTCCCTTTCTCTAAAGAGGGTTATAAGCACAACACCCACAGGCATTTTGACCTTTTCCCTTACGCTATTTTTGGATTGCTAAGGCGCTCATTTCCCCTTCTTAAAACAAATTTAGTGGTAAAAGATACGTTAAGCTAAAGAGTTAAGGGCATGAGACTGCGTTTGTCTAATGACAGTAAAGCACCGGGAGCTGACAGTGATGACATGCAATCCCCTGACCTACTCTGCATCATCTGCTTTTTTTTCCCTGTCCGTGTAGTGACTCAGGGGCTTTTCTGCTGGTGCTGGAAAACTGTGTCCTCAGACCACCAGCCCCCATGGGAGCAGCGCCCAGCTGGTACTGCCATGTAGCACACTTCCAACTGGAATTGGGCTTCACCCAAGTATATTCATTATTCATGAATAAATGAAAGTTTGCCTTACAACAGAGAGGAAGAAAGAAAAATGAGGGGAATACCTATAACCTCACTTAGGAGGACACTGTGGGAACAGAACCCATCACTATCAGCACAGATTGCTGTGTAACTCTCTCGCCTTTGCATACAGCTTTGCTTCTCTCAAACCCACAGAGAAACTGGACAAAACAAAGCTCAAAATGGGAAAACCATGTAAAACCTTTCTCTCTAATAAGAAATAATAAATCAATGAAGTATTTCTACAAGTTATAATTAAACATAAATCAAAAGTTTTCTTTCATCCTTCACTTAGGTACTCAATAGATCGAAACACAGACCTGGAGAGGTATTTCAATATTGATGCCAACAGTGGAGTCATTACAACCGCCAAATCTTTGGACAGGGAGACTAATGCTGTCCATAATATCACAGTGTTGGCTATGGAGAGTCGTAAGTAACAATTTAAAGATTTTATTCGCTGTTTATGTGTAAAAGTTCAAGGTTGGTTGGTTTAGGTCAGCTGCATTGAAAGAAATTTTGACAGTGTCAAACCATGGCAGATAAAAGTAACTTCTTATTCAATGTAAAAGAAATCTATGTGATAAAAAAATCAGAAATAAAACAGATTAAGTATTTGCTTTTTCCTTAGCCGTTTGACTTCAGAAAAGCAAGTACCAAGGAAACTGAAATGTGTTAAGTCAGCAGTCTCAGACCAAGTTTCATTAGAGGAAAAGTGATATTGAGTACAGAGGAGAACAGTTAGCCCTTCTTAGTGACGGCACTCACTTAGAGTTGATTGCTATTGGTCAACCACAGCATTCTTAAAAGGTATGAAGTAGAGGGGATGTGAATGCTTGTGTGGTTTCACTTTCCGGACTCTAAGGGCAGACTGTAGAGGATATTTTGTATTTGCTATCTTTTCTGACGTAAGCTGAAAAGTGTTGAAGAATCGAACCCTTCAAGCACACACAACAAGAATTTTGTTTGTTTCTTCAAATTTCATCCTTATTACTACTCTGTTGGATTGTGGTAATAAAAGGGTTATCAGTTCTCTGGTCTGCTATTTTAAAAATCTTCACTTCTTGCTTTCAGTGAGGTTAACTTAATGTTTACCCTGAAAGCTAACATTTATCATTTAGTGTCTGTATGAATTTATTTTGTATTCTCAGGAGCAGAATTTTGGTCTAGGAGGCCAGCGTGGAAACCAAAAATTTTCCTGGGTAGTAACAGAGCTGACAAGGTAGCCAAGGGACATCCCTAACACAAGCGAGAGTCTAGGAGCACAAGTAGTACCTTACGATGCTTTAATTTATGTTCATGGCCTGCTTGATTTTCAGTAAGCTTAGATCAGCAGAGGAAAGTGATGGTGTCAAAATTGCTTACTCTAGTATTTCACCTGTGGAATAAAAAAGCAAAACAAAATGTTTTGTGATCTACATTTGGATACATTGCTTTAAATACTTATAATATTTACTAAAATGTCGTTGCAATACCCTATTAAAACATAGGTACATATTTGAAGGTTTGTACAGTTTTTCATTCTGCTCTGCTCTACCGCTAATATCACCACTTGTGGTAAAAAAATAATGCAATCTCTTTTTTCCCTGCTCCAAATCAGAAGTATTATTTAGTAAAATAAGTATATCACACACCAATGTCCTTTATGCTTATTTCAAAAATATATACTCTTTAAGATAGAATGATGACATTAGACCCTGAACGGATTAATATTTTAGCCAGAGCTGTGCATCAGTTTAAGAATGTGATTCATCTTTAACGTATTCAACATGTTAATGACAGTGTTGAAATATTTAGTTGTGTGTGCATTTTAAATACGTTGAGAATTGCTTAAGAATACAGCTTCCTCTTTTTTTCTGTTACACATAGCTGATGGAATTCTGTTTTTAACTTCTTGATAGCCTGATCAATCTGAATTGCAATAAAAATTTATATAACCCGCAATAACCATGGTATTACAGATATGAATAGTGCTGTTCTGGCTAGCTATACCCCCTTGGTGATGGTTTTACATCATCTTGCTCTTATCCTTCCATATGATGTGATTCAATGCTGCGATCAGTGAGCTAGATTTTCAGATTATCCCTGAGAGAATTCCTTAGTTTAATTGAAGTAGCTGGAAAACACAAATATTGTTTCCACTAGGTCCAGAAGATCAAGCTTCCTTTGTCTTTCTAGGACCGATTGTAATTGATTTGCCATGTATATGCAAAAGAAGAATGCAGATGAAAAACGTGCTGATCCAAAGAATAATTTGCAGGGAGCTCTTCTTAATCATTTTGTTGGCTTCTTGTCTTATAGAGAATCCAGCACAGACTGGGAGAGGCTATGTAGCCATCACTATCCTTGACATCAACGATAATGCCCCTGAGTTTGCCATGGAGTATGAGACAACTGTCTGTGAAAATGCTCAACCTGGTCAGGTATGGCTTGATAGATTTTTTTATGTTTATTTTTATCAGATAGGCAACGTTTCCTAACAAAAGCTTGCCAGCTTTGAGATAAAATATAATCAGCACAAGCAAATATTAATCAAACCCTAACATCTTTACCAAACCTCTGACGAGAAAGACTCAGGTGTAAATATTACCTGTTGAGGGTACTGTTAAAATCTCTTGCTTTCTTACTAACTGACACATTTTGCTAAACTCACCTAATTTTGAAAAATATTAAGAATGTGTACTTCCTCCTAATTTTGCTGGGAAGTGGGAAGTGATAACACAGAGGTTATTCTGAGATTAAAGGCCTACCATTCCTAAAATGAGTACACGCTTTCATTTCCCTTAGGAAGTATGGGCCCTAAGACCACAATTTCACAGGGAGATGTATTCCTGCCATATTCCCCAGTGTTTTCAACTTCCCAAATGTCTTTCAAGTAGTCCTAGGCTCAACTGAAAGTATCTGGTGGTGTTCATCCTTGCTGTCTCTCATATTTGGACTTTTCCTCTGTACTTAGTAAGACCTCAGAAAATAGATATATTTTCTTATACTCTCTTCTCTCTCCCAGAAAACTAGTAGGCTTTTTACCCACATAGATCTCACATATTCCCTGGGAAACTTTGCACTTTTGAACCTTCTCTTAGAATATTGTCCTTCCTGTGGCAGATGTTGATTATTGCACATTTCAATATCACAGCATAATTTAAATCCTTAACAGAAAACACTACAATTATTAGCTTGTGTTCAGGAGAAACACAGAAAATGGAGCACCTGTTTGTTTTCCCTGTGGTCTAGTCAGAACTGTTAGCTCTGAGCATTCTTTATGGATTTTAAGCAATGGTGACACTTTTTTTTAGAGTCAGATTTTGTCAGAATTTTAGAAAATAAAACTGGAATAATAATGATAATAATACAAAAGGAATTCCAGAAAATATTAATATACTTATGACTTGGCTTTTTATTTTTCATGATGTTAAAAAAACCCAAAAACTACTTGAATTAAAATGCTCAAAAGCATAATCGTCTCCTTGCAAAAGTTTCCAGCCTTGATTGCAGACACTGATAAGGGCCATCCAGAAGATACACTTCTTCCACTGCTATGCAGTTTATACTCCAAGATCTGGTGAATGACAGGACCTAACTTTCTCACAGGCCCTGCAGATCATTGCTTTTTGGTCAACAAAGTGTCAAGTCACGTTTTAGTTTTGATAATGTCTGTACGCGCTTAGGAGACGAGAAAACCAAAATGCAGCATGAGCAGGACTCAAGAGAGGGTGGGTACTTTAATAGGTAACAAAGAGGTTAGACAATGCACATGTATTTATACTTCTTACCATTCCAAACAATGAAGCCCTGATGTATCTCAAAACAGGTGATCCAGAAAATCAGTGCAATTGATAAAGACGACCCACCAAACGGCCATCAGTTCTACTTCAGTTTAACAGCAGAGGCAGCAAATAACCACAATTTTACACTACAGGACAACAAAGGTAAGGATATTTTGTTTGGGTAAATATTCATCACTAACACCTTTCATTTTGAATATATCATGCTGATTATGGCCTACATAGTCTTCTATTCTGGTCAGGACATAAATTAAACTACAAAATAATTTTATCTGTTGATTATTTGTCAAGGGAATTAAGCTGTTATTTGAATCATTTAAAACCCTGAGCCAAACAAAGCAGCTTCAAATATATGTATTTTTTTCTTTGTTTTCCCCAGAAGTCACTTTTCTCACATTTTTTCCTTGTATTCATAGGTTTGTATCTAAATTAGAATTTACCTTGGGGCAGTGACTGAAAAATGTCCAGGAATTCATGTTTCATTAATATAACTCAGGGCATAAAAAATGAAAGCACAGTAAATTGAGAGGTTGGTTGTTTTTTTTTCTAGAAAAACATATATTTCCAGTAAGTATACCACCTATTGAAGAACGCTTTTGATAATGAAAGCTACCTACAATATTTACAGAGACTTTTTATGATTATTTCCCCAAAGACTTATGCAAAGACTCCGACTGACATCACGTTTCTATTAGTTAAAATATCTGAGAAGACACTTCTAATTGGTGTTCTCATTAGTTGCACTGCATACTACAGCAGCTGGGCATGTATCAGTCAGTTTAGCTATTAGCTGAAGCAAATAGAGCTAAATAGTCACGGTGTTACTCTTGCATTGCTCTTTTATGGGTCAGTACTACACCAGAGCCACAAAGTCATCCTTATTAACAAAACAAGAAAAAGAGACATATGGTGGACTAGGGGATACTGTCTGTACAGACAGACTTTGAACAACATTCACTACGTATAACATGCAACCTGATAAAGTTCTCTCACACAGCTTTTTATTGCTATACCCTGCATGTAGTTACTCACGTGCTTAATTTTCTTCATATAAGCAGCTTGCAGTTCAAAAACAAAGACTGTAATAGTAATAACGATCAAAATAATAAAAATGCATTAGAATAAGACTCTGTTCAGAAATCTGACATTGCTACAAGTACTGTAAAGTATTTAATGAAAAGACAAACCCTCTTCCAGAGAACTTCTAATTTGGAAAAAGTAATAACAGACTTTTGCAACGCCAGTAAAATCAATGGAGTAGCAAGACACAGCAGCAGTTGTCTTCCTTGATGTTAGATAATTTTACACATATCTCATATGATAATATATGAACAATGGAGTAGCAAGACACAGCAGCAGTTGCCTTCCTTGATGTTAAATAATTTTACGCATATCTCATATGATAATATATGAAGTGCTGGCATATTTTGCCAGATAGATCATAAAAGATGACACAATAAGGTAATTTACAGGACTATCGATAGAAGTGCTGGCATATTTTGCCAGATAGATCGTAATAGATGACACAAGATAATTTACCTGTCTATAAATAGATACATAAATAGATAGGTAGGTAGACAGACGGACCAACCGACCTTTCCTATACATTCTAGGAGATGTAATTCCCCACCTCTCAGGAGCTGTCAACCTGTATTGAACACAGTGAGTTTTGCACATATTTTCTGGAACACATGGACTTTTTAATCACCCAGCTCAGAGCAGCATCGAGCTACACATTTTAGACTGTTTGTATTACTCATCTTGACTCTCAGATGAGACTGAAAACAAGTGCATATCTGTTACAGCTGCAATTACCTGTACTTGTGCACCGACTGGATTTTTCCTGCATTCAAAAAATATTTCGTTGGTCTTCGGAACTTATTCTCCTATTAATAGGTTCATCTCTTCCATTAATATGACATCTGTATTTGTAAATAATTGAAATAAATTGATCCTTGGAAATTCAACCTGAAACAGGTATATAGATACTTAATCTGATCACTGAAGAGTAATTTTTTTTCTTTTTTATAATGATCTCATCTTCAGCTATCTATCAAGAATGTGGAACTGTGAGCTTAACTAAAACCAAATAGATGTCTGTAGTTTTGAAAGTCTTTCATGGAAATAGAAATGTTTTTGCTTAGTTGGATATAATTTCTCAGCTGGCCCTATCTCTGCAGTTTCAAAAATATGTGACCAGGAAAGAGAAACTTGTTGAAATAATATAAATGTGCTTATAAAGTCTTTCACTTAAAAGACTATTATCTATAGGCTTGTGTTTTAGAAAACCTATAGAACTAAAGCCTATACCTTTAGAAAGGTCATGTATTTTGTATCTATCTCTTTATTCCTTTATCTAGATAACACTGCGACAGTATTAACCAGAAGAAATGGGTTCCGAAGACAGGAACAGTCTGTTTTCTACTTGCCAATATTCATTGTGGACAGCGGATCACCTTCCCTTAGTAGCACTAATACCCTCACCATCAGAGTCTGTGATTGTGATGCAGATGGTGTTGCTCAGACATGCAATGCAGAAGCATACATCTTGCCTGCAGGACTTAGCACTGGAGCCCTGATAGCAATATTGGCTTGTGTCTTGACACTGCTAGGTACGTCTTCTTCCTATTACCCTTATTTTCCGTTCAATGTATAGTAGCAAAAGATAGAGAGAGGGAGAGAGATGTATATAAGCTTCAACATCCTCCCGCTGCCCCGATTTCTGTAAATGGGACAACTAACATTCCAGCATTTTGTATCATGAGCCACACAAAATCTTTAGTTTGGGATTTTCAAGTTGAGATATTTTGTTTCTATATCAAGCTACCTCCAGATGTATACCTGAAGTAATAGCCAAAGAAAAAAAGATAACTTACATCAAATGTAATATTTAAGAGACAGACATTATGGAAGTATTTAAGAGATAGACAACACAGTTTGTGGAAGTATTTGGTTTAGCATACTCACCGTATAACCGGTATCAGTGTGTGTCCCTTTTTCAGAGATATAACTATTTTTAAACATGTATTGACTTGTATAGAGCAAAAGACATTTTAAAAATACCACAAATGTAATTTACTGATGGGAATCATATTTAACTGAACATTTTCTACAGAATGATCTTGTGTTACTTCTACAACTGGTAGCACAGTTGGATTTTATGTTGTGCAGTGAAACTGCAAGTAGATAAAAGATAGTGGAAAATGGTGGAACAATGTCAACATCCTAGTTTGGTTAGCATTTCTCATTTCATGCCTAGTCCTTAAGCAAAATGACTACACGGTAGTAGTAAAGGCCCAAATTGAGGACTAAAGATGAAGGATCATCTTGCATCTACAGGATGAACTTTGCTCATCTGCAGGATGCAGGTGAGAAAAAGTGCAGTTTTGCTTATTGTCAGAAAGTTCACATGTTAACAAGGGTACTCATCCAGCACACAAGCCTTTTCCTGAGTGTTGTTACCAATGGAGAGGTTTTTCTATTCCCTGACTATGCGTATCAGTCTAAGGGAAAGGGGGAGTCCATAGTCTCCTCAGGTTGATGTAATCCCAGTGGTGATTTATCTGTCACTGTTACCCAAGTGATTTGAATAAGTCAAATCAAGAGACACTTGTCCACACTTCTGTTCATGCCAGTATTTCAACAATGTATAGATTTCTCTTCTTATTGACTTTGATTCACCTTGTAAACCATTAGAAGGAAATGTCCCTTCTGCTACAAACATCTCTAAAGGACTCAAAAAAGGAAATCCTCTTGCGTTGTTGTTATGGAGTAAGAAAAATTACTACCTCTGCAATGAACCCAACCAGCTCACTCAGTAACTATGTATAGGAGGTGACATTTCCAGAGTTCTCCATCTTTGTGACAAAAAACTCTAACAATGTAAGATTGTTTAAACTCACTTAACACATGGTTAGGCCCGAGTTTAAGGAGAAATGGAAGGGAATGATTGCCAAAGGTTTTAATGAATGGGTTTTAAATACCATTTTTCTAGCAGCGTTTCTAGGCCATTTATACACCCAAATGAACTTTATTTGGACATGAAGCTAAATGGTAGAGTTCAAAAAGGTATACAGAAGATTCTCTCAGATCATTGGAATTGACATCAGTGCAAAAACATCTATTTAAAACTTTGTTCCAATGTACTTAAAAGAAAAGTTCTGTAGCAACAGCAATTAATTTCATCCCAAATTGAAATGTCACCATTTCTGTTATACATGAAAAGGGAGTTTCTGAAGATTATATAAGAAACTACTGTAGATACAATGCAGCCTGACCTGGACATAAGATCTTCTTAAATAGGAGCCATATGTCTTAAAGAAGAACACTGAGTGGAGACACAGCATGTTATCAGGCAATAAGTTGCTTATTCTACCCAGCACAGCAGGGTTCAAATACAACCAATAAATCAAGAAACCTGCATTTTATTCTGGTCATTTGTAGAGTACGTCAAATAAGGGTTTGGTAAAGAATTGAGGATTATATCTCTGAACATAGTGTTTGAATAATGGGCTGTGCACTGAAGAGGAATCTTGCATATGACCACCTTACCATTGCTTTTATTCGTCAAAG